ATATTCATTTTCCATAAATATTCAAATCATAATAAATGAACTCTCATCATTTCCATAAATATCTCAATTTATTGGATTGCATTGGTTGTACAAATGCGATGGGTTGTATTTGAAACAACTATATATATATATATATATATATATATATAGGATTGAGTTCACGTGAGAGCAAAATTTTTTCGTGAAACCCGTAAAACAAATTTATGTTCATTGATCAACTTTATAAGGTAATGATCTAATGGTCTAAAGTTGCACGGTGGCAATTTCATGATTATTGAGAAGTCTCGTGGCAATTTTGCGATTATGAATGTTCAGATTGTAGATCTAATCCAAGAATTTAGAATTAGTCTTACGGGTCTCACGAAAATCCTTTGGTCTCACATGATCCCAAGTCTATACACACACACACACACATATATAAGGGTAATCATTTGCAAACCATCTGAAAGTTACGAACCTTACAAACCTCATCTAGACCTTTTTTTATCAACGGTTGATGAATTTTCAGATTTGAATTGATTAAAAAACCAAGGAAATGGTAGTTTTGAAAGAGATTTTAAATATTTTAAATTTTAATTTTAATAAATAATTAGAATTGTCTATTTTTGGTTATTATCTCTCTGTGATTTTCTCCACCATTATCTCTATCTCCCTCTCCCTCTCTCATCACACGACTTCTCCACCTATTTTCCTCAAAAATCCAAATCGAAAATTCTCAACTCAAAATGAAGAAAGGAGACGCAAAAGGCGGTGGCGTTGGATTGGTGGTTGTACGCTACGTGGAGCCACCTCATTCATCCAATTCTTCCCCAATCACGACATCGTCTCAAAATGAAGAAAGGCGGTGGTGGCGGTGGTCGGGTCTCATCTCTGATTAGGTATTCTTAACAACCATATTAGTTATTTTGGAATCATACGAGAAAGGGGTTTGGTGGATGTTTCAATGGCAGAGACTGTTTTTGGGGGGTTTTACGTTGATATGTCGCAAACGGGAGCCGGAGACGGAAGAAGATGGCCGGAGCTAGTTCTAGATCCGATTTATGGGTAAGGGTGGTTAGAGACGACATAAAGATCGGGTATTTTTTTTGCTCCATGGTTTACGCGCGAGTGTGTGTGTGTATATATATATATATATATATATATATATACAGAATGTTATATATAGAATGTTATTATGGACTGTTATTATGAATTATTTAAAAAATAATATATTGTTTCATAAGGGATCGGACAGGTGGTTTTACATATAAAATGTTATTATAATTTGTTTAAAAAAATTAATAGAGTAAATTATGAATTTCATCCCTATGGTTATAAGTAATTTATGGACTAGATTCCCCCGAACAAAGTAATTACAAGTATCGTCAATGTGGTTATGTTTTGTTATACATTGGGTCCTTCACCCTAACTTCGTTAAACCTGTTGTCGTTAAATCCCTCATTCATGCCTCATGTGAGGGGCATTTTAGTCCTTTGAACATTTCCTTAATGATTGTATTAGTGTATTGTAGAATGGTACTCGCGCAATGCAGCGAGATAAATCTCGATTTTAATGTTTAGTTTTTATTTTTTATCTCTATCAATATAATACGATTTTACGTGGTTTTGAGAAGGCGATAATGTTTTTATTTTTGAATGAAATATAAATTTGAATATAGCATAAAACTTTGAAAAAAATAAATCGATATTAATATCAAATTAACTATTTAATAGTTCTCGTTTTTTTGGTGTAACTTCTTTAATTCAATTTTTATAATTTAATTTAGATTTAATAACAATTAAGATGGTTGGAGAAAAGATGATGAAATCGTTTATGTCAACCGAGAATGAGATTTTCAAAGAAGAGAGTATTTCCAAATTAAATATGATAAAAATTATACAAATTTAGTTAAAAGACACAAACGCCCTTCCTTGTCTGTAAGGTTTGTAACCTTCTAATGATTTGTAAAAGACTGAGCTTATATACACACACATACATACAGGGCTTAATCATTTGATAACTTTAAAATTTATAAGATCCGCCTTAAACAATTAAGGATTTCTTATAAAACCGTAAAATAAAATCAAAAGTAACATAAAAAGTATAAACATGAGTTAAATTAAGGAGTTTGAGTTTTTATTTTAAAATCCAAATTTATAATCTATACTATATTATAAAATATTTGACAAAAACTCTTAAAAACCATTTTTTATGCACGAAGTACTGTTTATTGATGCATATTCCTTAAAATTTAAGATTACAAGTAAATTGTGCATAAGTACAACTTATTAAAGCTTCATATTTGAATTCGTGTAACTAACTGCAGATAAACATAATCAAATATTGGATAAAYATCTCATTTTAAATATAAAAAAATTAAAATATAATTAGGATAATCATTGAGTTCTAACAGAATACTTAATTATCATCTTTATAAAAAATTATATTCTTAAACCTAAATTAAATTTCTTTATTACTAAACCTAAATTAAATTATAATTAAAAAAATGAATTAAGAAAATTACACCAAAACACAAGAACATTTAAGAAGATTAATTTGATATTTTATTTTTTTCAAAATTTTATGAATTTGCAAATTTATATTTTATTCAAAAATAAAAACATTATCGTTTTCTCAAAACCACATAAAACCGTATTATATCAACATAAAAAAGAAATAAAACGAAACACTGAAATCAAGATGTGTCTCGATGCATTACATGAGTATCTTTCTAATAATATATAAAAGTTATTATAGCTATATAAAAACATATCTAGTAGATTTTTTTAAATAAAAATATGAAGATTTTATAAAAGTTCCTCCAAAAATTCTTCATCAAGATTTCTTAAAAATATATTATTTAGAAAATTTCATAAATTGCTAAAGATATTTTATTATTTCCATAATAAAAATTGTAAAATCAAATATTTAGGAAAAAGAAAAGCATATTTGATATTGTATTCAATATTTTGATTTTTTTTATTAACCAGGATATCTAATCCGTTATGCAAGTCGATCAATTCCAGAACGATCACCTGTTTTGCAGATAGTCCGGAGTCATCGTATTTAAACTTCTGTAGCCACAAAAAGTTTTTTATTCATTTTTGAATTTGAACCGAAAATATTTAGATACTTTTATTCTTTAAAGCCAAATTCAAACCGACCGCCAACCATCTACCCTTTTTAAATGTGGAAACAAGTTCGTTATCTTTGACTTTCAATATTAAATGAAATAATGACGTGGCGAAATGGGTCTTTTTTTAATCCGATGGCGATCGTTTAAATTTGCCATTATCGGCACCGCCGGTGGGACCCTTGAGTCTTGACAAGAATATACCTAATCGATATCCACAACCATTACTAATCTTAAACCCCATACGATTACGACGTTGCTTTTCCTACTCCAATTCCAACATTTTTTCTTAAAAAGAGCATCAAAAAGACCCCATCATCCTCTGCCTCATCCATCTTCAAAGGCCCTCCAATAATTTAGGGTTCTTCAGTTTCTTGATCCTTCAAAGAGATTCGCATATTCATTGTTAGGTTTCTTTCTTGATTGAATATCAATAAACCCATCACACTGTAAATTGTAAATTTCTTTCTTGCAGAGTTGAACTGAATTCTGGGCGTTGGAGTTATTTAAAAAGTTAATTATCTTGATCAATAACTCGATTCAGGTTTGTTCTTGAATTTGTGTAGGTTCTGGTTTCTTGCATGCATCATTACTATCAAGTTCTTGATGAAAATCTGATAAAATAGTGTTTAATCTTCGAAAAATCAGGGTTTACTGATTCTGGGTGTTGCAGTTTTTGATTCATTTAGTCTGATCAGTTCAGGCTTGTTCTTGAAATTATCCAGTTTTTTGGGGTTCTTGCATGTATCAATATCTTCTACAAAACATCAGAATTAGATTTTTGATGGAGAAATCTTTAAGAATCAGATAAAACGGTGTTTGATTGATCCCTCAATTCAGTCTTGTTCTTGATTTTCTGATTTCTCTACAGAAATTCCCTTTTGTTTCTTCTAAATTAGGAATTCTTGATATTACAGGACCAGGATTCAGTGATTCTAGATGATCTGGTGTTTGAGATTTTAGCTAGTTTTGGTCCAAAACCCAACTCAAGTTTGTTCTTGAATTGCTGTAGTTTCTGGGTGTCTTGCATGCATAAGCAATTCTTTAAAATAATTGAATTTTTGGTGATCAATTTTCTTGAAAATCAGGTAAAACAAGTGAACTGTTTGATCAAGATCAGTTTGATGTTATAGTTGTTCTTGAATTTAGATAGTTTTCAGTATTAATCTTCCAAAGATCAATTTTCACTGATTCTGGGATTTTCAATTTGTAATCACCATCCAAAGCTTGTTCTTCAATTTCCCACATTGTTGGTTTCCTTTATAGATATATATACATTTTTCAAAATCGTTGACTTTTGGTGGTCAATGTTCTTGGAAATTATGTCAATGAAGTGGACTTTTTGATCCTTTAAAGATCAGTTTTTACTGATTCTGGGTGTTTCAGGTGTTTGAAATTAGTTGATTTAATCAATCACCCAATTTCAGACTTGTTCTTGAGTTCCTACAATCTGGTTTCTTGAATGCATCCATGTTTTGATTTTTATGTCAAAATCATGAACTTTTGCGTTTTTCGCTTTTCTTTAAACTTTTGTGTAATAAGTGAACTATGAAATCATCAAACAACTTTAGTCCTGTCGTATCCGGTAAACACCAGGTACTGCCCTCTTGATTCTTATCATGTCCAGTCCAATTCAGTCATGTCTTGCATGCCAAACCCTACCTTAAAGATCAGTGTTCTAACCACAAGGGTGGTGTCTGATTGGTTTGAGCTTGGCTCCAAAGGTCAAAAGTATCAGGAGGTCTCAGGTTCAAATCCAAGGAGGAATAAAAATCCTCTTGTGGCCACGGAGGTTCAAATGCGGTGACTCCGTGCTATTTGCAAAGCAAGTGGTCGCCTGGGATTAGTCGACTCGCATAGCGGGTTGGATATCTAGCTTAATAAAAAAAAAGATCAGTGTTCATGATTCATGATGTTTTGAGGATTATGCTAATTTCATGATTTTGCAAATTTTGGTGGTGATTCGTTTTGGAATTTAGGAAAAGGTTACATTTTTAGGTATTTTCAAGAAATCTTTAAGGTTATTGATGAAAACAATGAATAAGTTAAATGCTGATTCTTTCAACTGCTCCTGAAGGAATGAGTTAAACATGTGAAATTACCATATTCTCCCTTCTCCCATAATTAGAGTCCACTTTTGACTTCGGAAATTCGAATCTCCATTGATGATCTGGTTTCGTTAGCTCATAACGTTTTCAACCATGATACACATTTTGCAGCATAATGCAAATTTAGAAGCTTTTTTGTCCGTAATCAAATCAATCCTTATTGATTTTGAAGTTAAAAACCGATCGATTTGACTTTAATTGTCAAACGTAAACTCTACTCATGGAATCTTTTAATCGAATATATTCCTAATTGATGTTCATTTCTTTATTTGCAACTTGTTTTCAGAATCGGGTGTTCTTCGGTGGCTTTTGAGACACCCTTTCTAAATCAACGGTAAACCGTTGGATTGAAGATGAGCAGAGCTCTGGTGAAATCTTTGGGACGATTTCAAACGGCTTTTCGACATCATGGAGCGAAAAGGATGCTTCTGAATGCAAACAGTGGGACTTCACATGATATAAGATACAACATCGACATGTGTAAATGTTGCCATTCGTCTTATATGTTTTCAAGGGCGTTGTCGGTTGATGCTGCTGCTAAAGTAACTTATGAAGGTTCAGAAAATCGAACATTTTCTAGTTTTTTTTCGTTTGTTCGTGATAAATATCGAATATAACTATATAAGTACGTTGTATTGATAACAGAAGTGAAGAGAGTCGGGCCTCTAGTGGAGTACGAGCGCAGAATCAATGCCGGGGAACTTGAAGATGGCGATAATTGTCAGGTAACGTCTTTTTTGGATCAAAAGAATTCAAGATCTAGTTGTGTGTGTTATGAAAATTGTGCAAATTTCTTTACTTAAAATCGGGTCCGTAAATAAGGGTATTTTAGGTATTTGGCAGATGATCAAAAGGTAACTTTATGGTGTTGATTTGGGTCCGTAAATAATTCTTTAGTTGTCTTCGTTAAAGGGTATTTTAGGTATTTGGTAGATAATTAAAAAGTAACTTTAACCACAAGGGTGGTGCCTGATTGGTTTGAGTTTGGCTTCAAAGGTCAAAAATACCTGGAGGTCCCAGATTCAAATTCAAGGAGGAATAAAAATCCCCTTGTGGCCACGGAGGTTCAAATGCGGTGATTCCGGGCTATCTGCAAAGCAGGTGATCGTCCTAAAATTAGTCGGCTCGCATAGCGGGTTGGATATCCTGGTTAATAAAAAAAAAGTAACTTTACGGTGTTAAATTGATTTGGGTCCATAAATATTTCTTTATTTGTCCTTGTTGAAGGGTATTATAGGTATTTGGTAGAGAATTAGAAAGTAGCTTTATGGTGTTGATTTAGGTCCATAGACAATTCTTTATGTCTTCTTTGGAGGGTATTTTAGGTATTTGGCAGATATTTTCGTAGATTATATGTCAAGTCAAATGGTACAGTTTTCTTATACGGAACGGAAGGAATATACAAAAATGATTCTTTTTGCAGATAGGCACCTTGAGAGAAATTCAAAGACTATACGACGAGCTCTATAGCTCCGTTAATGCCTGTCATCTGGATCGTGATTCTGATCACGGGAAAAGCGCAAGGTAAATTACGTTTCCAATTTTACCCTTCAACCAAAATAACTCTTATCGAATTTGATATTAAATAGTAAGCCATTCGACACTTAAAAGTCAAACATGAACTCTTTTGATAGAGTATTACTCGTGTCTAGGGGTGCTCATGGGTTGGGTTGATCGGGTTGAAGATATTTGAACAACACAATCCAATGCTTGCGATTTGAAAAAATTTGACCCAACCCAACCCGAACCAAAGTGCAACCCAACCCAACCCATACCTACAGTTTGACAATTTTATAACTCAATATCAATCCAATACCTACAGTTTGACAATTTTATAACTCGATTAGACATTGGGTTGAGTTATTTCGTATTGGGTCGGGTTGGTCGGGTTTTTGAGCACCCCTACTTGTGTCTGCTTTCAAAAATAGATAGTTATAACATACTAATTCCCAATTTTATCCTTGATCATGACACATAAACATTTAAGAGTTTATGAAATGTAGAGATAGAGAGAGAGAGAGAGAGAATGTTTGCCTCTATCAATAAGGACAAAATTGTCATTTAATTAGTTAATAAGTGTAAATAATTATATATTTGTTAAACTGGGTTTTTTTTATTGTCGACATTTATTTTCGGTCGGAGGAAGTATTACGCATTGCTGTTTGCATGCCATACCATTATTTACTGAGCATTTACGATTTCAGGAGTAGATGGCTATGGTCCCGTTTTATGCCTCAGTCTTCGATCTCACCGGTGAAAGGTCTTTATCTCTACGGAGGAGTTGGTACCGGAAAAACCATGCTGATGGACTTATTTTTTGATCAATTGTAAGCGTCGCATTTTTCACCTTCTCAAATTCCCCGCTTTATAAAGGAACCCGACCTTAAGTTATGGTGGTTTAGTATCTTGACGTATATATTTCCGTCACCAGGCCTTGCAATTGGAGGAAAAAGAGGATTCATTTTCACGACTTTATGTTGAACGTCCACACCCGCTTGCAGGTCAAATCTTTACTTCATGTTTTATTGCTTTTTGAAGTTTTAACGTTCGATTTTAGATGAATTTGTAATGTAGAGGCACAAAGGAGTGTCCGACCCCCTCGAAGTCGTTGCAGGCGAGATTTCTCACGAATCCATATTGCTATGTTTAGATGAATTCATGGTATGTTACAACTCCTGCACCTCGTAATGTCTAAAATACCCTTCGATTATTTTTGTTTTATCGGTCATTTATTTGTTCCTTGTGGTATTTTATAGGTTAATGATGTAGCCGATGCTTTGATATTAAACCGCTTATTTAAACATCTTTTTTGCAACGGTGCCGTAAGTGATCAAAATTTTACGAATTTGCATTCGTTTCATTTTTGGTATAATCGTGCCATAACGTTCGATTTCGTGTGTTCATGATGCAAGTGTAGATACTCGTTGCTACATCAAACCGTGTGCCGGATAACCTTTATGAAAGTGGATTGCAACGGGATCTTTTTCTACCATTCATTTCCACACTCAAGGTAAGCTTGACCGATTACTCCCATTTAGCACGTGAAGCTTGCGGCGTTTGGTAAATTACTAAACTACCCCTATCAAACTAAAACCATGCACAATTTTTTCACCCGCCTACCTCACTCTCGTCCGTAGTTCTGTCTGCCTACCAAAAGCACCCTTAATGATCAATTTTCAAGAATCTATACTATATTATAAAGCATTTGACAAAAACTCTTAAAAACTATTTTTTATACACGAAGTACTGTTTATTAATGCATATTACTTAAAATTTAAGATTACAAGTAACTTGTGCATAAGTACAACTTATTAAAACTCTATATTTAAATTCGTATAGCTAACTGTAGATGAACATAATCAAATATTAGATAAACATCTCATTTCAAATATAAAAAATCTAAAATATAATTAGGATAATCATTGAGTTATAATAGAATATTTTAATTATTATCTTTATAAAAAATTATATTATTAAACCTAAATTAAAAAAAAATTGTTACTAAATCTAAATTAAATTATAATTAAAAAATTGAACTAAGGAAATTACACCAAAACACAAGAACTTTTAAAAAAGGTTAATTTGATACTGATATCAATATATTTTTTTCAAAATTTTAGAATATTTTAAAAAAATTTATTTTATTTAAAAATAAAAACACTATCGCTTTCTTAAAACCACATAAAACCGTATTATATCGACATAAAAAAGAATAAAATGAAATACTGAAATCAAGATGTATCTTGATGGTTTGCACGAGTACCCTTCTAATATCTCAAAAAGGAAATTGTTGTAATTTTCCGCAAAAAGGGGTATGGTGTCGTCCTCTGGAGCGCCACCACCATATCAGTCCCACAACCATCACGAGGGGCGTAAATTGTTGAGGGCAGGTGGATGGTGCCTGGAGTCGAACCCTGTACCTGCCATTTATTTTGTAACGATATCCACCTCCTTACCCGTTACTACACGGATAAAATTGTTGCAGTTTTCATTTATCGGGAAATCTTTGCATCAACTTTCTCTATTCTTTCGTGATAATTATCTCGTATTGTCCCATGGATGCAGGAAAGATGCATAGTACATGAAATTGGTTCGTCCGTAGACTATAGGAGAAGGACTTCGGTAAAATACCAACTCTTTCCACCTTAACGTAAAGATGGGCAAAAACACTGGGCTTTTCGGTCCGCCTTTGACCAGGCTTTGACTAACCGGGATTTTCCGGGCAGGCCCATGCCCACCTCTACTTAAATGTGTAACACGTCTTTTCTAAGTCGTTTTTTGAATGCAGGCGGAAGAAGGCTTTTACTTCATACAAAATGGCACATCTGGTTTTCTTATGCATAGGTTTAACGAGTTGATCGGGGAACACACGGCTCATCCTCAAGAAGCGGAAGTCCTTATGGGAAGGACGTTACAGGTATGTTCATTTTCGCTGAAACAATACTATCTTTACTTTTTTTTGGACCAAAAACGCTCATCGGCCTTTAGCGGTAGAACCCAACCTTCCAAAAAGCCAAAGAGTTCAAACCTCACTAAGGGTGCGTTTGGTACACTTGATAGGGACAGGACAGAGATCTCTGTCCCATGTTTGGCATGAATTTTATGTGGAACAGAGTGGAATAAAGTGGAACAGGCGTGTTCCACCCCTACCCCATGGAACAGGGTGGAACAAGGTGGAACAGATTTATATTTTACCAATATAACCTTAAAATAAAACTTAATTCTCTTCTAAAACATCAAATAGGTCTCTTTTATATATTTTATTCATTCTTTAAATTTTATTTATTGTATTTTATGTTTCTTAAATTTTCATTTTGTTGTCCTCAAAATATTATTTTTATTAATTTATGTAATTTATTATATATTAATAATAAAAAATAATAACGAAAAAGGATAATATAAAAATTGGAAACTACATAAACTTTTTATGTTGGTGTTTTAGTTGTTTTGATGAAAACTTTTTAATGATATATTATGTTATAAAAACAATTATTTCATTATAATTTAATAAATTMCATAAATTAATTAAAATAAACAACTCATCAGGGGTAAATTGGTCATTTTACTTGTTCTGTTTTGTCCAGTTCTATCTTACCAAACGTTGAACAGTTGTCCTATCTTGTGATGTCCTGTCCTGACACCAAACACACTCTAAAGGTGATGATTGTGCATGAAAAAAAGATTATCTTGTTGGTCCTTTCCCGATCAAAACGAAATAAGTTTTTGGGTGTGAACCTATAGGTACCGTTGGGCGGTAACGGATGCGCGTATTTTCCGTTTGAAGAACTATGCGACAAACCGCTTGGTGCTGCCGACTACTTTGGATTATGTAGTAAGTCTTTCGGTCTGTTTTATATCATAAGATATGCACTTTGACTTTTTTGAGGTCAAACGAGCTATTTTCGTTGTTGAAATCGACGGGATTTCTTCAATTTTAAAGAATATAATTGCAGCCATATCAAACTTCGTAACAAATACTACATAACGGAGAAACGTGATCCTAAAGATGTTAAAATCGTGCAAGAATTTCGAAGTTGAAAATCAAATCCGTTTGACCTCAAAAGTCAAGTTCCGAGAAAATGGATTTCCGAAGTAATGTATTTGCAATGGCAGAGAATTTTCACACCGTGGCTTTAGATGGCGTCCCGATATTTGGGCTTCACAACCGCACGGCAGCATATCGGTTTGTCACTTTGGTTGACGTTAGTCTCGCTTCTTGTCATCCGTTTTGGCTCGTGTGTGTGTGCGTGCGTTTGTTTGTAAAGTGACATAATTGTTTTGTGTTTATAGGTGATGTATGAGAACAAAGCACGGTTGGTGTGTACGGCCGAGGGGACACCTTTCGATCTTTTCGAAAGGATTGTGACGGTTGCGGATGCACATAATATCGCACCTAGAACCTCTTCAAGATCAAGGAAGAACGACGATTTTGACCTTTGTGTTGACAATGAGTTGGGCTTTGCGAAAGATCGCACCATTAGCAGGTATGCGTTGTTCCATTATTAGCTTTCCGACCCGGGTGTCATGACGGAAATAGTTGCTCTACTTTTTGGGGTAGAGGACGTGTCTACGTACATTCCACCCCGACCCTACTTCCGAGTGGGTCCCTTTGTTCGATATCTTAAAGGGTATGACTTTAGAGCATCTCCAACAGATTCTTTAAAATTTCTCTAAAATAGAGAACCAAAAGTTAAAATCTCTAAAGAAATTACATTATCTTCAACAGATTCCCGATTTTGGAGAATCCAACATTGATTATAATATTAAAATATTTCATTCATCTATTAAAATATTATTAATATTTATTTTCATATTTTCTCCATTTTGGAGATAGTTTTGGGGAAGCTGTTGGAGCAAAATATTGACTCAAAATCCTCATTTTCTCCATTTTGGAGAAGTTTTGGAGATTCTCTTTAAGGGGGTCTAAGATACTTATTTAGTTATATAATATTAAATGAGGTTTTAATTAAATTCATTATTCTAAAAAGAAAAATGGTTTCATATTTACGAGAAGTTCATGGATTTAATTAAAATATCATTTAAGGTTACAGGAGACCTTCTTTTGAGAACTTTTTAAATTGTGAGATGTTTGAGAACCAGTGGATCATATACTATTGCATATGATTATTTTTCATCTGTGACTAGAATTTAATGTAGTTATTAACATATATTTGTTTCACATGTACTCGGTTTTTTTGCTGTGTTTATGAAACAAAAAATAAAATACAAGTAAAAAAGTTTCAAATTGTGAACCAAATACATATGAAACAAATAGATTGTAAAAAAAATATATGTTAATTAATACATTAAATAATATTATATGAAAAAGATCATGTGAATTATATTTGCATATACAGGTTGACGGAAATGAATAGCAAAGAGTATCTCGAGCAGCATAGGGAGATGATAGCGGACAAACGGGTTCAAACCCAAGGGGACGAGATCGGCAATGAGAACATGGTATTTGCATGACGCTCGATGATATGATGTGAAATGAATAATGGAAAATTGTCATCGTAACTCGACCCACTAATTATTTGGGCCCGATGTGAAGTATAACGAAGGTAGCGATGATTGATCGAGTGCTTGGTTCTGTACGGTTGCGTTAGATTATAATATTTTCGTCTAATCTAATCGTGGGTCTCCGCTTGTAATAAAAGATCGGGATCTAATGGCTTATTTGTAGGATCATTTTAATTTTTTTAGAGACTGTTACAGTTATACCAAGAGTACAGATCGACTAGATAATTAATAAATAGAATATAAAGTTCATATAATGTATCTTTACAAATTAAAATAACAAATGTCATTAAAAATCAAATATTAACTAAAATTCTTTTTAACTGAAATCAAAAATTAAAAAAGTAGTTTAGAATTCATATGGGAGTATAAGATAATTAATAAAAAATTGAAATAAAAATCAAACTCACTTTATGTCATTAAATTAATGTTCATTAAATTTCTAACAAAATTAAAGTTCATATCTATACTATCTTATTAAGCAAATTTAACAAAAGTCTTAAAGTCTTAAAATTTTAAATGACCAAAATACCTTTTATACTCACTTTTTCAACCCCTCCTCTCTTCACATACACTCACCCCCTCACATACACTCACCCTCTCATAATCCATTTTTTTAAAATTATAATTTTAAATTTACACTTTATACTCCTATAATTAATTAATTAATTTATTTTATGTTCTTTACTTTTAAATGTTTCATTTTAAACTTTTATCAAATTAACATACATAATCGTATATCAATTAAAACATGTTTAAAAAATATATTTTTATTTTAATAGGTTACATCATTATAATCGTCTCGTTAATACCTTCGAAATGAGTTAAATATAGAATAGTTTTTGACTTAATTATATTATTATATATTATATATACTGTAAAAAAATATTTTTAATATTTACGATTTATACTTTTATAGTTATTGAAGAGTTTGAAATTAAACCTAAAGAGGAGATTAAGAGACGAAGATCCTCGAGTTTAAACCCGAAATTGTTGAAAAATAAAATAATGCCAATAAATTAGAAAAAAAGGAAAAATGAGATACTAAACTTAGAAGATGCCACGTCATCTCTTCAAGTTTCTACTTTATATAGATATATAGATTTATTTATATATACTATATATTTTAGGGTTAGACTGTCTAAATTGCACTGTATAATATGTTTTGAATTAGTATGTTATTGGGTTTTTTTGAAATATATATACATGTATTAATTCAACCTTAATCTGAGTTTCTGGACAAGAAATAGGGTAAACAGTTGAAATTTCATTCTAAAAC